GTTTTGTTGCGTGCGCTTAATCATGCACCATCGCTTTCCCTCGGGGCACATCTGTACTAGATAGGCCCAGCCAGATGTGAACAAGCTCCACCCGTGCTCCGAGTTGGTCAGGTACGAGCGAGTCCCGGTCTGGATGTCCCAAGGCCTATGTGTGTGCAGGGCTGCCCCAGTAAACGAGCCCCACCAGACAGCAGGAGAGGTTAGTTCCATCACGCTAAAACTCGCACCCAGCTGGTTTGGAGAGTGGGCACAGGAGCTCGTGTGTGCCCGAATCGTGCTGACAATGGGACTCCCTTCAGTCAACCAGCCATAGCACTCTGAAGTCCTCGTTCATGCTCTTCAGTGCTCTGAAAACTCCCCTTTCTCTAGTTTCTGTAATAATTTTTTGTAGCTACAAAAATCCACAGAGAAGGTCTGGTTTTAACACTCATCTGTACTGAAATAACAGAGCCATGACCTCAGTCTGGGTGTCTGGACATTACCGCAGCACAGTTCGGTAACAGTGATAAAGGCTGAAGGGCCATTGGCTTCATGCTTTAAGTCAGACAAGGGAGGGAAGTGGAAAAAGCAAAACAAAATCAGCAACTTGCAGCCTGTCTGTGTTTGGACTGAATGAGTACAAATTTAATATCTCTTCCCCATGCAGCATATGCGCTGCATCACATCTCTGTTTTTTAGAAAAGGCACATCTAATTTTTTAATAGCTACCCTGTCTGTTCTCTCTTTTAAGCTTTGTAACTACTTCAGATTAACCTTCCGGCAGCAGCCAGACAAACACAACCATGGCTACAAGCTCTCCGTCATTTTGCTCTGTGGGTTCTTTTTAGCTAGTCCATGAGCAGGGGCAGCAGGCGTAATCCCGGCCCGGCTGAGGTCAGGAGAGGTTCTGGTGGCAGCTTGAGCAGCACCCACCACTCCTGCCTCCCTGGGGAATTCTGCTGCGCTCTGCCTCGGAGAGCAGGACCTTGCAGCAGCATTAGACGCCTCGGCTGCAGCGGGCTTGTTTGCTGTGAGAGAGGCTGTGCCAACTCTGCTGCAAACGCTGCTCCCTGCATGTGCCAAAGTCTACGCTGAGCTTGCCTTGTGCTTTCGGTGCCTCCCCAAGGCAGGGCACTGCAGAACTAAGTTTAGAACTGAAAACAGACCACTTAGTAAAGAGAGATTCCAAAGCAGCCCAGCTTTGCAAATGACAGAAGAAATCAATTTAACATAAATTAAAACGCAGCAACCTCTCCCTACCTGAGCACGCTCCACAATTCAGATTTACTTTCAGATCTAAATGTAACTGTTTGCCTTTCCGAGTTTGAATTATGCCAAGGCAACTATCACCACTTTACAGGAGAGGTTTTGAAGGTGTGACAAGCCACCTTAGTTTCTCAGAGACGCAATACTGTCTTTGAGAGTAAGACCACTTAACAGAAAGGGACAATCATTTGCCTTAAAGGAAATAAATACATCTTCACCATGTACAGAGAAAGGCTTATACTTGCTAGAAAGTAAAATATGCTTGAGGACGGAATCTTAAAAACCATTCAAATCCCTGCTTTTTTTAGGGAGAAAATGTCATGCTTGTACATTTGCGCTGGGGGGTTTAGAACCAGCTGACATTGTCACAAAAGCCTCAGGTCGTGCCGATTCAGTTAGTCGAGGGGGTAGCCTTGTATGAAACATTGAGTCTCCATTAATATCTGTGCACTTTTAAGCAGTGCTGTTCTTAGCTCTCCTGGATGGCGGGCAGTATCTTCTATTTCTTTTCCATGCTGCATTCTACCTACTGAAGTGCTGGAATCTTGAATCGTTTTTCAGTGCATGCGAGTATGAGCACTGGCAGGGAAATGGTGAGTCCCAATGAGCATCTATTTATCGTCAGGAATGAGGCTATGTGCCTGCGAGGCAATGTACTTCATCTCTAACAAATAAAGGCAAACAAAACGGGTACTTCGCTTTCGCTGCTAAGAAGGAAGTACAGTAACAAGACAAACTTGTTAGTGAAACAAAGGGTGGTGGGGGGAAGTGCTCTTGAACAAAAAAAAGGGATGGTTACATCCCTGACGAACAGAGCTGTCGTACTGGTGAAAGCAAACCCTGCACATCAGCCTCCTCCGACGCGTAATTCGGAGCACGTTCCTGCTTTCTACACCTCTCAAATACCACAGAGGGCCCGGTACAATTACAATAATTATTCTGCTTCAAACTTTAGGTGTCCTGCATGGGCTGCAGATGGAAAACACGTAAGTGGCTGACTTTGCCGTACTTCATATGCTCAGCAGAACACGCTCTCTGCAGATAGCTCTGTTTTGGCAAGCTTCTTGAACCGAAGCATAGGGTTAGCTCACACGACCGAGGCTCAAAACACATAAATGTCTTGCTACATTACATGCGTCTGTGCAATAAAGGAATAGTCAGTGTTCCGCCAGACTACGGACAAGCACAGTAAGGTACAGTTGGTTATGTACCAGGTACGTAAGTGTCCTATTTTTCCACCTTCATTAATATATCTCTCTCTAGCTCCAACGGGAGTTTCACCTAAGCAGAGTCAGCAGAACTAGTCTTGGCCGTGGACGTCGGTCAAATGCTGCAGAAGCAGGTTTACCGAAACCTGAAATTCTGCTGGCCAGCATACAGTTGGCCAAAAGAGAACGCGGACGACGTCGCACCATCTGGATGATATTCGTAAGTGTATCCGCTTTTCCAAACAACTTGCTTTATAAAAACAACTAGCAAAACTAAGCCCCAAATGCGAATGCACAAATCTTTGTTTACCACTTAGTGTACAGGTTCCAACTAAATTTCACAGGGGAAACACGCATCTCTAAAACGGGATATAACCATTGTGAGAAGTCTTTTCCATCCGGGTATTATTTTTATTCTATGTATTTATTACAGCATTGTGTGTAGTGTGGTTAACAGTGACTTCTATTTCCAGAGTTATTCACATAGCACTGTTCATAGTCACAACTATTTGGTAATCTGGGGGCTTTAGCACTATGGTGTGGGTTTCTTTATATCCACAGCTTTACTATGCAGTAAAAACCAGCAAGAACTTTGTGCAAACAATTAGAAGCCTAAGGCTTTCAAAACAAAAAAAGACTTCCCTACTTTGAACTAACTGCTGGGAATGAATTGTGGTTTCCTGTTGTTTGCGAATTAGCAAGTAAGCAAGGGCAAAAACATCCCAGCAAGTCCAAAATGCACATAAAAAAACCAAGGTCATAATCCCCCATAATCACACGCACATACACACCCATCCCCGAAACTGCACTGTACTTAGCATCCTCATCTTCTGTTTGGAATAATGGGAGTTAGACATTCCAAGTTATTTTCCTCTGTTGACTTCTTTAATATTTTAAAAGGACAGCTGTTCCAACAGTATCTATCCATTCTCACCTACGTGCATACGGTCACAGTTACTAATGTCTCCCTCACTCTCCTTATAATTCGCTTAAACAATAAGGGTAGTAATGTCCTTTCCCCTACCGCATTCACAAAAGCATCGGCAAACCTCACATTAAAGAGAAGTCCCACAAAGGAACTCGCTAGAACTCAAGAAAGTTCTTACTACGCTTTAAACAAGGCTTCCGAGAAAAACATGGCTCTTTCCATGGCTTAAAGTGTGCCACAGACATGCAATGAAAAAGGCGCTTGTGTTTCCGTGGCAGGGTTCCAGAGTTCTGCCCAAGCATTCCAAGTGGTCTGTACGCTATCAGCGCTGACTCTCCGTGCCTGATGAGGAGCAGGCCGCTGACAGGAATTAAGGGCCTACCGACATCGAGAGAAAGGATCTCGTTGACTTCAGCAGTCCTCAGAACAGTCCTAAGTGTCCTCTCCTGACCTCTCTCAAGCCATCTGGAAAAATGGCTTATGAACTTGTCTCTCCCTACAGAGAGCAGATCCAGCACCCAAGTCCGGGTGGGGGGAAGTGAAAACTTGGCTGTTGTCAAGTCAGACCGCTTTTTTAAATGCTAAAACAGGAGGGGCTTAGAATTGGGTCTTTAGACATCCTACTTCTCGGATGTCAGCATGCATTTCTGTAGCGTGACACTTTTGTCTGTTGCCAATGCCAGGTCTCTTCAGTAAGTCTTGCACTTGCTATTATGTATTATTTAAAAAAAAAAAAACACCACAGTAAACTGACTATGGCAGACCACATTTTGTATTGATTCTACTAAAGGGAGCAGAAAGGAAGTACAACTTCACTTCCACCCTGCCACAGTTCGTTAAAATGATTCCCAAAGGGTTTATCCACGTGTTCAAATCCAAAAAGTTGTGCAGCGTGGTTAGCTTCTGGACAGAAGGGAGAGAGAGGAGGTCCTGCTGGTTTTGACAAGGCTGAAAGCATACCAAAGGACTCTGACGACAGCGCAACTGATCTCTGCTGAAAGCACCGATTCCACAATATCCTTTTCCAATTCCTGTGATTTTAGTAGTTAATTTTGCAACAATCCCTTCTCTGTTTTTCTCCTTCTGTCTCCCCCCACCCCATCCTTGACCTGTCCTAGCTGCTAATCCTTATTTGCATTAGAAATCAGAGTGAGCAGCCTTGAATTTGATCGCCTTTGAACACACCAACTGAAAGGAAGAGTTCAGGCACATCCATACATCTTCACAGCGCCAGGAAGATCTCACACCTTTCAAGTGGCACCAACTCCACTGTCCAAAACCAATTTTGAAGTCGTGATTTGAAAATACAAAATGAAATACCTACCTTACATGATGTTACGGGAAACATTAATTTACCATTGTATGCTTTACCGAGACATGAAAAAATACTGAAGGCTTATCCGCAGACGTTGCTTTACCAAATAAGAGCAAGATCATTTTTCCTGCTGTGCCAAATAAGATGCAGACTCATGCAGAGATTAAAACATTACTTGTAGTTGTTCTGCAAAGCAGTCGCGGAGTTCACATCAAGAATTTATTTCCCATGGTTGTTCTCCTTCCTTTTTTACTAGGCTATCCATTGATATGTTCCCAAAATTAAATCCAGCTCTGCCCAGAGGCTTCCTGACTGGCCACCACTTAAAAGGTATCAGTTATTGTTCAGTATCTGTTACTGTTCCTCTGATTTAATGAGAGCCCTTGGGGGTGAGGAGGGAGAGGGAGAATTAAAAAAGCAGTGCACTAACCTGTCTCCAGTTAATGGCATAATGACTTGTGCCTGGGTGGAAAACACGATAAACGATAATCTCATCTTGGGGCTTTTAAAAAAGGGAAAGGGGGAAAAAAAAATATATTTTAGACAAATGAACAGAAACATACAGATGCACAGCATTTCATTCACTTATTCATGCTTTGTATCATCTTTATCCTCCAACTTGCAAATAACATACTTTTCAACTACAAACCCAGAATGAGAGAGGAATTAAAGGATTTCTACCCATCTACTCCTTACCCAGATGCTTCGACAACAAAGTAGCAGAATTATTATCCTTTCTTGCCTGACTGGACTCCAGATCAACACGTGCTAAGCCTAACGGTTAAGATCTCATGCGACCCAACTGAAAGTGAACTTCGTTAAGTTGTGATCTACCAACATATAGAAGGTAACACATCCTTTTGTATTTTCATGGTCGCTGGTGTAAAAATAAGTCAGGGACACAGACTCAGGGTATGCTCTTGCTCTGGGGTATTAAACATGGACACGTTCAAAAGTCAGTTTCCCCCTTTTAAAGGTCGATCCTGACACAATGTAAATTTCAAACTCTGCTTTTTGGTCATAAAATCATCCAAGTCAAATAAAGAGTGCCTTCCCGACTGATTCACCTCTAAAAAAGTAGCATGACAAACTCTCTCAGAATGAGCATGTTTATGTTTCAGTGGCATAGAGTTGTGGCACTTAAGACCAACTTCCATAAAAGTATCCGGACAAATGTCATTATGAAAAGCAATACTGTATGAACTGATTTCATTAAGGCATTCGGTCTTTTTTTGAAGAAGCCCACCTGTCTCCTCCAACAAGATTACGAGGAATTATATCCAACTATCAGTGGAAAATGCACAAGAACTTATGCTCCGGAAGCCCAAGACAGTAACTTTCCTAAGGTAAGCTGTAACAACATCTCTCCTACCTGCTTGTAATTTTTATACGTGACAATTTTAATATATTCAGTAATTTTATACACACATTCTGTATGTGTATCAGCATTAATTAATCTGGCTAACGTGAGTGAAGACGTAACGCTTGTAAAGACGAATGACCATACATTTTCAGTTCACTTACATCAACGATGCAACTTAAAGTTATTGACATCGTGGAAGTATAAGTACTGGGCAGGTCTTTGCACACAACTGCACAGATCTTGGATTTAAGATCCAGTCTTGCAGTCTATCCATGAAGGCTCCGAACACAAAAATCTGAGATGTTCTGAATTAAATTATAATCTAAGATACTGTATTATCAGTCGTCTTAGTTGCCGCAAGCAGTTGCCAAACAAAAAAACGAGTACTTGCAATCCCAATCTCTGGTAATTACCTCACCACTTTAGCACCAAGTAACGTGAGACCTCCCTGTCTGAGATGCAACTCTCTGTGTGTCACAACCTCAGTGATGATTTAGCTAACTTGTCTTTAGGACCAACCACAAAACTGTCCTCGTCACAAGACGCCCCATTTCTGTTCCGCTGTCCGAGCACTCAGACACGGTGGCAACGGAGGAGGATCGTATGAACGCACCAGACAGCCCTGCCAGGCGCAGGCCTTTCCGAACCAAGATAATCAGCACGCAGCACTATTGCTGCAAGCGTGCGCATGACAGACAAGTCAAACTGGAGCGCAGATTCACCGCCATGAATTAATTCTTCAGGTGAGGACTGAAGGAAACTGCTACCCATTGGTTCTTTGCCTTCTTCCCACAACTTCTCTTTTCAATTTAAGAGAGGGCAAGGTCGAACGACTCCACGCCCTATTCTGAAAGCATGCTGAGGCCTGAGGGCAGGACAAAGCCTCCTCGGCCTTCAGAGGCCCTCGAGCCCATCAGGGAAACACACGGGTAGAGGTGCTGTTCAGGCTCCCTCAAGAGCCCTACAGCCGTCATGCCGTGGAGGGTCTGTGCCACATAAGGCCGAGCCCTCAGCACCCGGACAGCGAGCGAGATGCTCGCAGGTTGGACTGTCTGGCTCTGCGCCGTAACTGATCCTCCTCTGGTGTGAAAGGTCAGCGGAGGAACTTGCCAGCTCAATAGCTTTAATTCAGATAATGCAGCCAGACCGCTACACAACAACTGTTGCAAAAGGGAGCGTCATTTGGCTCTAAAAGATGATGAACTGAAAGATCTACACTGAACGAGCACCACCCTTTCAGTGGGGGCAAATGAATTTTTTTACTACTCACAGAAAGAGGTATTGCTTTGGTACCCTCAGGCTTTTTTTTTTTTTTTTGGCTTTTTTTTTTTTTTTAGTTCTTACAAAATAACTTTCAAAAGCTTGTGTCACCCACTCAGTTTACAGAAGATTTGCTTTTTACAGGATGAATGTAAGCAGTATTTCATTATGCAAGCTTAATTGTATCCCTTTAGTAGCAAGCCACAATCATAACTGCCCGCTGCACTTCATTTTCCTTAGCAAAAACTACCACAACGTCTGTGTCCCTGTCTTTGGGGGGATTCCTTTGTTTTATTCTGGGTTGTTTTGGTTTTTTTAAAAAAAGCAAAATGCTGCATCACAGTAATTGTCAGCTGTTTGTACAGAGTACGGTTAGCCAGTATTTACAACAGCCATTTCTGTGGCAGCAATACTTGCCAGACAATACTGCTAGCCAGCTAAAAGTTGATTACGTTTATGCACAACAAATATACTGTTAACATGGCAATAAAGTGTCTGTACGCTTGAGCTTGAAAGTCACTTCCTTCCTTTTGATCTGCACCATATATGTACATACATATAGACATGTATTCAGATTGCCCTCTTCACATGGACCTCTAAAAGCAATATACAAGTACTCCTCCATCAGAGATGAGGCATCTGGTTTATGGAAACAAAGTTTAAAAAAATCATCAAATTACATCTGAGAGTAATTTTAGAGATTAAGTATTTAAAGATGCTTATTACCACCTTTTTACTGAGCTCCAAACAGCAGAAAATGAAGTAAAAGTTTCCAATATTTTCCAGCAATTTGGACCCTAGAAGCCAAATTCTTAACATGTTTGTGAAACACATCCACCGAGCTTACAAAAGCGCGGGGGTTTTTTCAACGTATCCCAGTATTACAGAAGTCACAAGGAGCCAAACGCACCTCACAAATCTTTCTGTCAGCTGATTTACAAAATCAAATATTTCGTGCCAGTTCTGTGCTACGCTCCCGGATCTGCAAAGGAAACAAAAGCACGTTAGTAGGCCTTCTTTAAGGAAACCCGGCGAGGAAGGCTGAAGGTTTCAGGGGGAAACCGGGCGTTAGGGCAGCGTTTCCCTTCCCGATTATTTCAGGTGACCGCCGTGCCCGGCTGGCGGTGGCACTCGGGTGCGATTCTTGTCGCGACCTGTCGAGCTGAGGCGCGGCACAGCGCGTCCACGGCCCGGCAGCCCGCAGGGGTGCAGGTAAGCGACCCCGCGCGCGCTTCCCCGCACAAACACGATCGGCA